TTTGCCAAGAGGTACAGTAGTGCTTATTTTAGGATCCTGAGTATGATTTCACAAGGACAAATCATCAATCACATAAGCGGACTAGATTCAGTGGCTTCTGCAGTGACTAGCATTATGTGCTCCTTTGTTCAAAGAAAGGATATGGGAAAATCCAATTAATTCCCAGTAAGGAAGTCTAATCCTAGGACTACTCCATTAGCAGTTGACTTACACCAGGAAGTCTAATCCTAGGACTACTCCATTAGCAGTTGACTTACACCCTGACCCATAAGAGTAGGCCTGTAGGTTATCTTGTTATTGCTATATATGTCTAGTGTTAAAAACAAACAAACAAAAACAAACAAACAAACAAAAACTTTTGTAATATTTGATCTCATTGATATGCATTGAGTTTCAGAGGTTTACTTTTCTTGCTGCAAGATAGTATTTGGATGGATTAGGCCTGTTACCATCTTAACTGTAGTAGGAAATGTACCAGAGTATTTACCTCATGTTGCTGGGGTTCCATTCAAAATGATCACAAGACCCGAAGGGGAAAAATATGGCTCTTGTATAATCTGAATTTGTGAAAGAACAAAAACATATGCAGCAGCTCCACTTCGTTTCTTGCTATATTGTACCCATAAAGTACTGAAAGCTGGCAGTTATTCACTTCAAGTGCCATGCTTGTGTTCTGCTTTTAACTGAGGGGTTTTTTCACTTGTGAGTGAGGAAGAGTCGTCCTTTATGTGTAATAGCTGCATTCTGCATCCTTTTCCTTGCTATGTGAGATCCTGTTCCTAAGGATCTGACTTCAGCTCTTCTCCATCCTCACAGGACTGTCGGGACTAACTGAACAATGAAGTATTTAACTTGTTTGCTTCTACACCGTTTTATTTTTTCCGTTTTTCTTATGAGAAGGCTACTTTGATTTACTAAGGCGTCTTTAGGAGTTAGATGCAGACTTTATGGAATACCTGTCTCTATAAGCTGAGTGAAGTTTAGAGAGCCTACTGAAGTTAAATGTCTACACCCAAGTAGACTGAGTTTCTTCATGACATTACAGTCTGACAAATAATCTAATTCAAGAAAATTATTTACTCTCGTTCTGCCAATGGTAGTATTAATGTGTTGACACTTATTTGTAAACCCTGAGAATACATCTTTATTTTATTATCATTGTAGTGGTATAAATGAGCTGTAGGATATGTTAAGTTGGTTAGCCTGTCTTTTTAAAAATACAGCCTGAAATCGGTGATCTCACATTCTTAGTTTGTAAATAAGATCAATGGATTTTGTTTTTTAAAGACAGTTTTTGAGAGCTCACTGGAACTCTTAAGATTAGCTAGGATTTTCTGCGTTTTTCACACATCTTACGTGGAATAAATTCTGCATGACTGTAGATTAATTCCGTAGTTAACCATAGATGATTATTAAATTAATAAGGAAACTTGTTGACATTAATGTTTAACATTGTTAGTATTCATTGCTGAAGATTTTAAAATACATTGTGTACAAATAGAGACTACAGTGGGAGTGATGGATGAAGAGAGCTAACTTTTGTGTGGCCTCAGCAGTTCTCATCTATGATCTCAAAATGGGTCAGCTTATTCTGTAACAGCTGCTGAGTTGCTGCTACCTGCAGGCTGGAATACTGAGAGAACATAGGTGCTGGTTTATTTTAATTTACCAGGCTGTCACCTGTGGTAGCTCAGTAGATACGTCATGAGCCGGTGAATTGTTCCTGCAGTGAGGGCAAGGGTTCTGGGAAAGAGATTGGTAGGCTGCTGGTTAAACACCACTAAACTCTCCTATAGAAATCTGTTCCTTCTCTTAAGTCACAGCTGGTCACCTAGCCAAGAGCCCAGGAAATCAGCTCTTCCTCCCCAGGCTGCACATACAGAAATTCATCTGGATCATTCTCTGGTGCCTGGCTATGTCTGTATGGGCACCTGCACTGTTGCAAGAGGGAATTTGATCTCAGATTATTGCACCGTCAGTTTATGAATATGCCTAAAGATAATTGTGAGGTAGTCCATGATTCAGCATTAATCTAATTACAGTAACTGATGCCCAGAATAATTTTGGTAATGGTTATCATATGTGAAATGTAGATACCTTGATAACATGGTGACATGTAATACCTTTTAAAACTACTGCTGCTTATAACAGTCTCTCCTACTCCCATCTTATAAATGACGTAAAACATGATTAAGTCTTTAGGGATTTCCCATTTAAGTTACTGTGAAGTTTTTTCAACTATTACTTTCAAAACTTTATTGAATGGAAATATACAAAATGCAAAGAAATTAACACTGTACCTATGCTACAATTATATAGTTATGCTACATGTATATATACCTGTGCTACAATTATATATATAACAATTATTGTATCATTAATTGCATTTTTTAAACAATTATATGCTTTACGATGCATTAAAAATCTTAGTTTTCTACCAAAGAAATTATTCTCAAATAATTAGTCTCCAATAAGTATTTGTCTGCCTATTTAGTTAGGTTCCTTACCTTTTTAGGTGTTTTTTATTACAAGCTGGTCCATGACCCTCTAAACTGGCAACTTATCAAATTTTACCATCACTATTAATGAAGATATATTTACTTTTTAAACTTGCAGTAGTTCTGTAAGAAACTGCATGCCTTGTTTTCCACTAAGCATATTTAAGGATCCAGAGATCTAGAATGAGCTGAGACTGATGGGTCACAAATAAGAGCAAGTTGGCAGGAATCAAAGGGAAAATTTCTCTTTCTGCTACCCTATTTCTGGTATGGTTGGATAATGGCTTTAGGTATGACACATATAATTTTTTTCAGAAGAACTAACATGATTTAAAAAACTGTAGCAATGACAGTTTTTAAATTTACATACATAATGTAAATTTGAGCTTTATGCTAGGAATGCTGCTGTGAAGTAGACTAAGTGTGATTTTCTGTGACAATCTAACTGTGTTAGAATTTTAGACTAGATGACTCAAAGCTGCCCTGCTAAAAATAAAGCAGGTTTCTGTTTTAAAATCTGAGCTGTACACACAAATTCAGAATATATATGCAAAGAGGAATAAAAAAAAAACCAGGCTTCTGTCTGTGAGATTTTTTTTAAATTGTATTTTATTTAACTCTTATATACAGTTCAAAGATACTGAGAATAAAGATAGTTGCAAGAATCGATAACTGTGAACTGGTCATCAGAAGCAACATTTCCAAGAGACCCCTGTGTCAATAGCTAATATTTTTCTTGCAAGTAAAAGAAGCTCTATAGAGCAATTAGTGAGGCAGCACAAGCACAAGCTTGACATCCATGTTTGCTTTTGTTAAATATTCTGGCCAAGTTAAATTTTAGAATCAATTTAAAGATTAATAATTAAATTCCAAAATAGCTTCCCTTACAAAATGGAGAATGTCATGGCCCATTCATGTTTAGTTATAGTAGTTGAGTGTGTTCCAAGTCAAGCAGGCAATAACACGTGTGAGATGATTGTATTTTAATTGCAACATGATGGAGTGAATTGGCATTTTGGGCTCTCTGTTATTCTTTTACTCTTGTAATTTTTTTAATCTTGTAATTTTTCTTATCTGTTCTTTGAGACATATTGGTAAACTATTTTGTTAGTTTTGTTAGTTACTCTTTCTTCTTTTCTAGAACGTTTAGAAGGAGGGGAAGAATTTGACCGTCATCTGCCCTGGGTTCTTGTCAGGTTTTTCTTATTTAATTAGCATTATGAAAAGTGCCTAGCTTTTAAGATGCTTTTAGACATCTGAAAGCAGTCTAAATTTTGCCTATTAAAATATAAATTTGTTCCGTCAAAGACACAAAAAAGACATAATTTTTTTTTTCTAACTCATGCTCTGAGCTACTCTCTGACCACTGACACTGAAGTTCTGTTTTATAATGTGTCTGCCTTAATAAGAAGTGACCTCTCCCACTTTCTACAATCTCTTTCCATGCCCTGTTTTTTTGTGAGCATGCAAACAACACCAAATATTTCCAGTTCTAAAGCTATAATTTAAAATTATATGGGTGAGGCAGCTAAAATAAAAATGTTTTAAAATAAATCCCACCCTGTTCTGTTCTTTATAGAGCTTTTTTGATGGTTTTGCTTTGTAGTCTAGGGGCTTGAAATGGCTTCTGACACTAGTCAAATTCTATGCAATTTCCTCTTCACCCTGAGATCTCTGCAAGTGTTTGCTTTGGATTTGTTCTCTAATACAAGCTCACTGTACCTCTTGGGAGTCTTTAATCTTCCCTTGTTCTGATCTGAAGAGGGGAGCATCCATTTTTCCAAGGGAGCCACTCCAGGTTATTGTTAGGAAAGTAGAAATACCCCTTCTCTTACAACTGTGGGACCCAGACTGCAGTGGCAAGATGTCATTACTAGGAAGTTTCCTTTTTATTTTGATGATCTGCTTAGAGAAGAGCTGAGGCTCTTTGAATAGTACTTGGTATTTCGTTAGTAGAGAATTAGTCAGGTGCTGCTTATTCTGTCAACGAGGAGCAGCCTCCACTGTCCTTATGGAAAGAGTACCTTACAAACAGTTCCAAACAGCTTCTTTTTGGCTTTGGTTTTGGAGTCTGCTTGGGAATGTTGTGGCCAAACAATAGGATCCAGCCTGTACTATAGAGTTATGTTTGAAATGTAGAGACTTTCATCTCTTTCAAAGAGAGTGCACTTTTTTTCTTTTTTTTTTAAATAGTAATATATGTAGCATACAAGTATGAGATATAATTTAGATGTAAGGGAAGATTAAAAAGAAAAACATTTGATGCTTCTGTATCTTTCTCATTGAATGATAGCTTTTCGCTTCTGAGGAATTTGTTTCAGAAGCAGATTGAAGGACAGTTCTGAAAAATGCCCATATTGTGCCATTCTTGTGGAGTTATTCCACTTGGCCCTTTCATTAGTTTGGCTTTGGATGTTTGTAAGCATTCATTTTAACACAGCTAATATTAGCATTGTAATCAGAGGAGTAATAGAAGAAGAGATGGAAACAGCTTTTCCACAGTCGTGTTTATTATTTGTTAGTCTCACAGCTCAGGGGTGCAAATGCTGTTGCTCCTGTCAGTAACAGTAGGTTTGGTAATTCCATATTGTGGGAAGTGACATCTTTGTTGCATGAGCTGTCTTGTACAGAGTTTTTCAGACTTCTGTTTTCTTCTCCATGGTAGTTTGAATTTGCACGAAACCCCAGGAGGTTATCGAATATTGCCAGTATGCAGACATGAAATAATTGTATATTTCCATTAAGTCAGTGCAGGGAGCATCAAAGGCTTCTGAAGAATTTGAACATAAATGAAAATCAATATATTTGGACTGAACTTAGTGTAGAACTGATACCAATGGAAAGATGAAAACTTTGCTAGAAGTTAGTGCTTCAAATGTTGCACTTTGTTAAAAATCATGTACAGCTTAAGATCTTCAGTCTAGAACAGAGCTTCTAAAATTTGCTTTTTATTGTCTACAAGTCTGTGCTGTTGCTGTGACAGATCTTGCATTTGAAACTTGCATGCTTGTTACTCTAGCAGTCATATACCTGGAAAAGACCTAAGGCTTAAAAAATGCCAGAACATGGTCCAGAACAGGGCAGCTTAAGGTTCAGCTAAAAGTTTCAGTTCTAAGCTGCAATTTTGCATGCTGTTACGTACTGAAACTGGCTACAGAGCACGATGCTAAATATCAAAGCACACTGTTCTACCTCTCCCACTATGGTTGTCCTCCCCAGAAACAGGGGAGCTGTTAAAAATTGCAACTGGAAATAAATCTGGAAATAAATAATCAAATTTAGAGACAGAAGGAAGTCATTTATAGTTATGAACTCTAATGAATGCATCCTAACAGAGGCCAAATAAGGCAAGTCAGTGTAAAGCAATATATTTCATGAGAATTTTATATAATTTTGGAACATAGCCCAGATTTTTTGCTGATGATCAGTCCCCAGAAATGTTCTTGCAAGGGTCAGATCTTCTGAACCACCTGTAAGCTTTCAGTGGTAACTAAAATCCAGGTAACTATTCACTAGCTATTCATGATAACAACCATTTTTATATAATACTTTCTATGGAGTAAAATAACTATAGATGCAAGAAAAAAGCAAGATAAACATAGTAAAGTGTCCAGACAAGACTGAAAGGCAGCTAAGGGGAAAATAAAGACTTTTGGGTTTGGGTTGTTGGGCTTTTCTTGTCTTTTGGTTTTTGTTGTTGTAGATATTTAGAAATATTTATCTCTGTGGTTGGGCTAGAAGGTAAAAGTGTTTGTTCCTGGGGAAGTGGAGCATTGCTTGGTAGAATGCTGTCAGGCAGTTTTATTTCACCTACTTTGACCTTTTAGAGTCCCATTCTATACCTGTCTCTCAGTATATTAAGTTGCATGTGCACCCATCAATTTCTCATGAAGGTGATTGCGGGAGGGGAAGTACTAGATGAGAAAAGTCAGCTTTGTCTATGGAAATAACCTCTCTTTCAAACACTTCCAATAACAACTTAGAAATAAAAAGATTTACAAGCGGGATTGATCCCACAGTACTATAAAATTTCTCAAAAATGTGCCCGGCCTCATCTTTTTCCTTACTGACATTATCTGTGGTACTAGAGCAGAATTATTTAATCACAGTAGCAGTTTAAATTGCATATACTCATATGTTTAGGTTTTTTGGATAATGAAATAAAATAAATGGACGCTTTTGTTCAAATATGTTGTTTCCTTTACTTTCAAGACTGTTGATGTTTCTTTAATAGGAAATAAAATATCCTTCAAACACAAGTAACAGCTTTTCAATGTGTACCGACTTGCTGTCCTCAGTGCAGTGTGTGTATGTCTAGGTGTTGTAACAATTTCATATTTCTGATTGATCTTCTGTGTGGCACGTGGTGCATTACCTAGGCACCATGCAGCTAAGGTGAAGAATCCTGCTAGGATGCCTTCACTTCTGTTGGTAAACTCAGGCTTTTAATGTCTGTGCCAACTTGTTTGGGTGTTGGGCTTTTTATGGTATAATATTTTCTTTGTGTAAGTTGAAAACCCCATCTTCTATATGACAAAATAGTATAGGGATCTATTAAACCTCTAATTTTAAAACAAGGATATATTGGTGATTATATGTGTAAACTGGTTTTGGAACAATGCTTTTGAATTACAGCAAGGCAGAATCTGTAGACACTCTTAAATTTCCACTGAGACAAATAAAAAGGGAATTTTTTTATCAATGATTTAAGTACTTGTTTTTATCTGAATAAATAGAAAATGATTGGTTGACAGATCTGTTTTGTAAGAATAAATGAGTTACTACGTACCTGTTACCAAGTCTTCCCTTCTTCCTGTGAATTTCAGGAGGTATCCTCTTGTTCTTCAGAGGAACATTGTTTTGAGATTGTACTACAGATAAAAATGAATAAACTGTAAAAACCCTGTGCCAAAATATGAGCCACCTTGATAAGATATGGATTTAATTGCATTACTCCAGTCTTTCTTGAGGGAAGTAATCTTAGTCTGCAGATACTACACTTCCACTAGTGTAATATAGCTTAATATAATTAATGTCAGGGTAAGTTTTTGAAGTTCTGGAGCTTTGGGGTTTTTTTCCTAAAGAAGTGAACCAGCATAGTGATGAAACTGAAATGAAGGAGAGATAGGTATTTAAATACCTCATTTGGAAAATGAACTCGAACATAAAATTTAAAACACTATCTAGCAAATAATAGCAATTAATTTTGAAGTTAGTTTTACTTCAAAAGTCCATTTTTGACATTTTATGTAGGTTTCTCTGTATTTCAGTCTTTTAAATCTGGATATTGCAAGAATGGATCTTCAAAGTTGGGAACTTAGAAATTGACACATACAGGGTTTGATTCTGCAGAGAACTGTAATCCCATTACTCTTCCCTCTGCATTTCTCTGCAGTTCCTGGCAGTATAAAACATAGTATTTCCCACTGGATGTAGGAGTCATGAATGTACTCACACTTGGAAGTACCAGGTGCTGGTGTTTAATACAGGAAGACCAGTATCTCTACGAGTTTAAGAAACAAAATAGAGAGAAGCTTTTTCTTTTCCTGTCAGAAAATTAAGTTTCCCTGGTGTTTTGTGACGCTTCACACTCTCAGCTCTGCCTTTGTCAGCGAATACTTTCCTTCCTATGAAGCTCCAAAAGATTTCCAAGAGCCAGCTTTTTAAAAGCCGTTACCAGTTGAGCCAAATCTGATAGGGTAAGAAAGAAATTGATAGAAGATGACATATAGAAAAGAAATAAAGAAGTTTCCAGAAAGAAATGTTGGACATGAGCTAATGACAACGTGCAATTGCAGCCCAGCAAGCCAACAGCACCCTGAGCTCCATCAAGAGCAGCGTGGCCATCAGGTTACAGGAGGTAAATTCCGCTCCTCTGTTCTTGTGAGTCCCCACCTGGGGTGCTGAATCGAGAGAGGGGTCATGAAGATGATCAGAGGGGATAGAACTCTCCTGTGAGGAAGGGCTGAGAGAGTTGGTTTTGTTCATTCTGGAAAAGGCACCATGGAGACCTTATTGTGACCTTTCAGTACTTAAAGGAGGCTTGTAAGAAAGAGGGGGACAAACTTTTTAGTAGGCCTTGTAATGATAGGACAAGGAATAATGTGTTTAAACTAAAAGGTGGCAGATTTAGACTGCATATAAGGAAGAAAACTTTTAGAATGATGGAGTGAAACTCTGGGTGGTGGGTGCTCCATTCCTGGAAACATTCAAGGTCAAGTTGGATGGGGCTGTGGGCAACCTGATCTACTTTAAGATGTATCTGGTCATTGGAGGGGGGTTGGCCTAGATGACCTTTAAAGGTCCCTTCCAGCCTAAACCATTCTATGACAAAGGGTAATCAGTCCAAGGAATACTGAAGTAGTCCCTGCAGTCACTGGGATACAGGAAACCCTTGTTCAAAATGTTCTTTGCCATTTCACAACACCCTAATTAGATGACCTGCAGGAAAACTTGGGTGTGCTCAGGTCTCTCTCTCTGATGAGGAGATGCATTTTCATCATGACCAGTCTTGACAAAAGTCTTGTCAAACAAAAATACCCTTCTGCACAATTAAATTAAATTCCCAATCTACTGGATTAATGATCCACTTTCTTCTCTAATTTAAAGCCAAGTGAGAAGAGAGGGCTTTTAACAACAGGGAACAATACACAGTAGCTATTGGCATTCCATGGAGGTTGAGTTAGCTTCTAGCAGTAACTGAGTGCCAAAAACTGTCTGGACTCAGAGACTGAGGGTATATGGTAAAGTGTAATTTAGTATGAATCTAGCAGAGAGGCTGGAAGCAAGGGGATATAAAATTTTTACTTTCATTAGGTTAGTATTATTGTCCAAGAGCTAGAAAATGAAACACTTTTCAATGCTTTCTCCTTTCTAGTACTTTTAAAACATCTTTACTGAAACGAGTAAAGGTCTAAAGTCTCTTGTTATCTTTAAATGTTAAAGTTACATTTAGGTTAAGTCAGATTAATTCTACTTTATTCAGATAAGTTCAAATTCACTTTGTGAGTCTATGAGCTGCATTACAGTAGGCTTGCTAGAATTAGTAAAAGTTGTGTTACAATTGTTTTGCATTCTTTATTTCAAAGAAATTGCAGAAGCATCTGAATATATGCTGTTAACTGCTTTTGAAGCAATATGCACTGTTCAGAATATTTAAATAACTAATGAATCCATTTATAATAAATCTTTCATACTTTGAAAGAGTATTCAAGATGAAGCCTGATAAAAGGGATAGGCTTTTGTGTTGTAATCTCATATTTCATCATTCTTTTTGGAACTTGTATGCTACAAAAAGGATGTTTTAAATTGAAAGTAGTGTTTGTGGTTGCTTTAAAGTTCTTAGAAAAAAAAGTACTTGCATGTTAACAGAAATTGTTGGCGTTTTCCATTTCATGCACGCTAAGTCAAAAGTGTAGTATCTAAATATGCTACAGGGAATTATTAAAATTACAGTTATTTCCTAGCCAAAACTTGAAATTGTCTGCTAACTTTCTTGCTGTAATGTAGGCTTAAAAATATGTACCATTTAACAGGAGTTAAAATTGTAGATGGTTTCCAACCTTTAAAATAATTCCCATTTGGTTGCAAATTCCACTGCAATTAGGAAAGGCCATAACAGTTTTTAGTTTTATTTAAGACATAGAAGAATAGATTTAATTTCCAAAAGTGCTGTGTATCAGCAACTCTGAAGTATTTTAAATTCTAGCCAGAAGCATAACATAATTGATATTTATATTATTGGGTATGGCAGCATTCTCTGGGCTGTCATTTTGCTTGTAATTTTCTCCTTGCTTGTAAAATTGTCTTATTTATTATTTGCACTTTATTCTTAATCAGTTTTGCTAATGTAATAAAAACATTGAAATGTTATTATATGATTAGCAATTTTCCACTATATTAATCCAGCATTACATTATACTGTGTGGTGACAATAATGATTTCTAATGTGGTAATGAGAGAGAGTTATTAACATGTCCCAGTATTTAATAGTTTCTTAATTGCAAGATGGAAAAATATTTTAAGTTACCATAATCAGCTGTATTAGTGGCAAGAATTACAAAATGGTGGAATATGGAACATAAAAATTAAAATATCTATGTTGAATGGAACACTTTCTACATAACTGTAAAGCTGTTTTGGTTTTATACTTGTTTTCAGAAGTCGTAGTTATTCACAGGATTTTTTTCCATATTTTAAGCTCACTATTAATACTGACAAATAGAGGAAGACTTGCAGATTTAGTACACGTTTACCAGTGTGCATTAAATGGGTGTGCAATACCCTTTTTTTAATGAGGAAGGCGAAAAGTCTGTGGTATCCAGCTGGGAAGATGATTTAAAGTGATTAAGCCTCTCCTAGCTGAGACACAGTGCACTAAAATAGCCACAGTACAAACTAAGAGCTGCACATTAGCAGGAATAGAAATACAGAAGCAGCACTAAACAAGTACATAAATGATATAAATTATTTCTCTAACTCACTACACTGAGTGGACTCTTACGTTCTGTAAACAATTTTAGAAGTATTGGAGTTGCTTCAAAATTCAGAAGTCCAAATGGAGCTTCTGGCCTTCTTTGTGTGTGTATGTATGCATGGAGCAGGCAGGTTTTCCTCTGTTGGTGTCTGGGTGTTTGTACTCAAGTGTTGCAAATAGCTTATTTTAAGGAGTTTTTTAACTAGGCCATTCAAGCTATTGATAATTTACTCTGTTTTCATTTAAAACATATTAAAAATTTCACAAAAATATATTTCCCACTTAATTGTGAGAGTTGTATAGGTAACTTGAAAAACTTTTGGGAAAGAGTAAAAAAAGCAAATTGTACTTATTGGGGGAAACAGGTGTATTTTCAAACCTAAAGGTGTTACAAGGCTGTATAAGGTAAGGATACAATGTGTACTGGCAAGTATGCTTACAGAAAATCTTATTACAGCAGCATCATGTTAAGCTTCAGATGGAAAACACACTGTAGAAGTGGAAAATATGTAGCCCTATGGAATATTATCATCAGTAATACAGCTACTACAGGGCAATTCAACACTTGTCCAATGCTGGGTGTTACATTACTTCTAGAAATTAAATTTCCTGAGAAATCCCTCAAATAAAGTGCATGTGGCATAAGAACAGGAGCAAAGTCACCTTATAAAAAGTTAAAATACTATACTACAGCATTTTTAGGTGTAAGTTGTCCAGCGGGAAATGTGGGCTGTTTACCTCGTACCCATTTCAAATCAACAATTTCGTTTATGAGGTAGTGTTAATGACATATTAAAAATTTTGTTCTAATGGTTCCACTGGAGTGACTTGCATTTTATTACCCAATAAAAGCAGTGAGGCTTCTATCAGGATTCTTATAAGTGAGGATTTTGCATAATACAGCTGTCACTTGAAGCCAGTATTTATGGACGTGAGTGCAGTCCTGTAATAACCAAAGGATAAGCTTTCACTAATTTTGCATCTGCTACAATTAAGAGATAGATTTAGATTCACTTTATGTAGCATGCTGTAAAACAGATTCTGTGAATGAAGCTGAAATGTTTAGCCTGCTTTTATTACATGTTTAAATAGCATAAGGAATTGACATTTCAATACCCATCCCTCTAAATATGTATATTGTTCTCAGTGGTTAATTTAAATGCACTTCTTTGTCTCAGTGATTTGCTTCTAGCAGAAGTATTGTGTTCTCTTCAATTTTTCTGTGGAAAACTCATTGAAAACTTGCTCGTATTTCAAATTTTCTTTTCAAAAAGAAACAAATATAAACATTGCAAATGCCAGCATTGCTTCCATCACTCTTGTGTATTAACTGGTTTTTAATCCACAAATTTCTACCAGCTTGTCACTGCAATTTATCAAAAGAAGAAGTTGGTCATACCTGCTTCAAATTTTTTTTACAGTGGTACATGGCACTGAAGTTCTGCATTGAAGGAAATATTTCAGTTTATGGTTGAAATTCAGTGGTGAGATCAGACAATCTGGAATCACAGACCAAATGCAGTTTTCCTTTCTCAAATACATGGATAATAATAGTGGAGTAGTGGCACCACTAAACCCCTTCTTCTTAAACATCTACTTTCTATAATGTATAATATGGGTTACTGAAAATTCTGTTAAAATAGCATTCCAGCTTTTCCTCAAGTTTTATATATTTCAGGACCTATGTTAGATGAAATGACTTAAATCAACAGCACTAGGAAGATTTGTGGTTTAGATGCTGCACTGACTGTTACAGTGTTAGAAAAGTTGGGAGCATTACTTTTGCTGCTTGTAGTGTCATGTTTCAGTAATGCACACTTGCTTCTGCTTTACAGCTTTCTTTTGCCCATCTGTATAGTTAAATATGACTCTCATGGTGTTTAATTCCTAGTTACTAAACCAGAAGTTCTAACAGATGAGCTATCACTAACAGAATAAATGCTTATGAAGGTGCACAGCACAAGCATTAGCTGCCTAATCATATGGGGTTTTGTTTGTTCCTTGCCACTGCTTTGTTCCTTTGTTGGGCCAGATAGAAAGGTTAAAGTGTAAAAATCTGCACACAATTAAAGAAAGATGTATTAACAAAGTTTTATAATGGTATACATAACTTTCACCTTAAATTTTGCCTTCTGTGTCATAAGAGAACTCTGCAGATTTTTGTATGATCCTACAGCAGTGTTCTTTTTCCTTTTTGGTGGTTGGATTGTTCTTCTGTGCTGTGATATTGTTACATGTGGGTGGACACCTTTTCTCAGATCTCATGGATAAGAAACGAGAACATTTAAAAATAGGTGGTTTTCCCTTTGTGTCAAGGAACGATGTTTGAAACTCAACATCTTAATGAATGGTTAAGAATACTTTATTATTTGTCTGAAAAATTTTCAGTACTTGTACATCTCCTTTTGTCTCTGTAGGTACCTAAACATTAACTTGTAAATTAAATTGATTTTACTGGAAAAGGAGTATTTTCTGCTACTGTATCAGTATTTCTCGTCTC